AGAGGAATAAAAAAATGCTTTTGGATCTCAAGCACACATAAACATTCTCCATTCACTTGTCACGTCTGTGGCTGGCACCTCCATCTCCTCATGTGCCAACAACTGAACTAGGTAATGAGGCACGTCGAGCACAGCTGATACCAACCTGCCCGGTTTTACTTAAGCTGGGCACTGGCGTGTCCTCATCGCCAATTTGTCAAGTGTATTACCTGACTGTACTGGCTCACCACACGTCCCAATCATCTTGCCTTCCATCCTGCATCTCCTGATCTCTGGCATGGGTGCAGCTCCTCAGCTGTGGGACCAACCTACCTGCACACTGTTCTGCTTCTCTGGACCTCCATTGTGGGTGCAACTCCTCTGTGTCCTCTCCTGCCATGGGACCTGCCTGCCTGCTCTGCTGCCTCTACTGACCTCCAGTGCTGGTGCAACTCCTCCACTCACTCCCAGCTCAGCTACAGCCTCAACTCCCCCTCCTCTTCAATGATCCTGCGGTTCCCCCCACATCATAGCCTTTGGACCCAGCGGTGATCGGTCCCAGGTTGTTCTCCACACAGTACATGCCAGACGTCCAGTCGAATCATTCCCACCAGTGAGACCTGCTGTGTTTTCTTTCTCCCCTGCTTGTACACCAATAAATTTGTCTGGCTTGCTCTGAATCTGAGTGTTGCCTTTTTGGGTCCGTACTTATCACCTGCTTGAAGGCTCACGGCCTTGAACTTGCTATCAGATGCTCCTTGAACACCTTAACAAAGAACAAATAGCTGAAATTCAGAGCTGAAGCTTTCTTTTTCTTATTTAATTACAGGCTACACGCCTGCTGTGGACTGCAGATGGGTCATATGAAATGAGATGAAGATAGGCCCCAGCATATAAACATCAATTTCCACAACAGAGGGTGAAGTGAGTACAAATTAAGTGCTGTCACACTTAAAGTAAATTTTTCTTGCACAGTGCTACCAGCTGCATGATTATAAAAAAAAGGTAGAACATTTTCATAATGAGGCAATTTCAGCTCTACCTTGGAGACTATTTTCATGTTTGAGTCTAACATAATGCACCTTCAAGGTTGTCAGACAATCATTAGGGCAGCAGAGGTGGTCCAGTGGGAGAAGTTGATGTTTCATGATGAAAAAACTCAAATAATGTCTGACACTAATGGCACCATTCAATAAATGTACCCTGAGACTTCAAATATTGATATTGGAAGAACAAATAACTCTCCCTGTCATTTTAAACTGATATCTCTGCTCATTTCCAATCAGCAAAAGTACAAAAGCACCACAGCAGTTTTATTAAGCCATCAAAAATGTAGTCAAATCAAAGTCAACAAAAAGTAAGTAAACACTTACCTGGTCTTCAATTGGGTTGTAAAATGTAATCCGATCCTCATCTAAGTCACTGGTACAGGCAAACACAATGTGCATAAGCTAACATCACACAAACAATTACAATTTTTTATGTGATAATAATTTGGTATTGGAGGAGGCAGGACATATTTGAATTAGGGTTACTAATTTACCTAATTTTAATTTAGGTTTACTAAGTGAAGTGTTATTTAATATTTGTTCATCCATGATTTGTATATAATATATTCTCTGAACCCTGAGACAAATCAAAAACAGGGAGTGAGCTACTAGAAGTGAAACACTGAAAACCCCTGCTTTTTACTAAGCTGACCGCATTCTGACTCCTGAGGCCTGTATCGTAGAACAAGGTCATGGTTAAGAGATAAAAATATTAAATGGCTAGACTACAACAAGTCTTCCATCAGGTTGTCTAAAATTATTTATTTTAGATAACTGGTAAAATGAATCAGATTATCATTGGGCTCAATTAATTTAAACTTTCTAACCTGGCTATGGGCACTGTAATATGAAGGATGTGTAGTTTTTAATTACATGTAGCATAAACTTTGGAATCAGTGAAACCTGTAATAACAGTTTGTCAGAGTGACGTTCTGTTTTTGCATTCATGTACCATATTACACCTTACATATATCTAGCATATATTGAGGAAGGAGCAGGATAAATGCTGATGTTGCAAAATAACTACAATTTATGTGCCAGCACATTTAACCTTTATGACAACAAATTGCATGACAACCAGTGTTTAATTTATAAATTATGAGGTCTTGGAATTTCACTTGGTGATGGATTCAGTGTGTCAATGTAGGTAGAGGAGGTCCCGGACTGAAAAAATGGTCGTCAATGACCTTGTGTGAGTTGTTTCCACAATAAGTGAGCAGCTTTGAGCCAAAAACATAGTTTGTTGTGTTTGTACTGACTAATTAGTCACCTAAGAAGACATGAATGTTCAAGTGTGAGTTATACAACAAGTATTGAGTGTAAGTGATGCTGAAAACAAGGCTGTGGCCTTAAGCCTAATCTATTCAGTGGCAAACATGGCATCATATTTGGGGATTTATTTACTCTCCATTCCACATTAACACTATATTTAGGATATTACACAGCAACACATTTATATCACACAAATAAACGTGCGCTTGCCTATAGTTATTTAAAGCTGGTTCTTTTCTCCCAGATCCTTAAGGGGGCTTGTTCTTAGACCTAGCTCATCCTCCAGCTAACAGAAGAGCCCTTTTAAGACATTTACCCCTACCCAGGAATTTGCCTGCTATTTTACATCTAGGCATCATGTCTGAACAGAGACACACATTGCATTATTACTGGCAACTTTACCTGGTAAAACCTAGTCAAATAGCCAGCTACATTCTTACTCACTGAACTTCAGTGGTCAAATTGCTGGTAAGGGCACAGTCAAGATAAGGACAGTGCTACAGCATGACACATCACATTTTCTGTTTCACTGCCTTGTTCTTGCTAACACCACTCTTTCTCTTCATTCACCTACCCAGCTAGGTCTTGCTATGTTTGAACAAAGCCTTGTCAGGAATTTTGCACACAGTGGCTCTGTCTGAATGCCAAAAAAAAGCAACTGCTACATGGCTACATGTAGCCTGCAAATTCCCAGATACCATGGTCTTAAAGGGGCTAAGTGAACTGTTAACATCAAATTGGCTTGTATTATCATTAACAATTAGAGGCAGGAGTGCACATAACTGCTGCAAAATTAAGAATGCGTGGTGAATATTATTAAAAAGTGCTTTTGTGTGTATAGCTGTGTCAAATATAGCATTTGTTGTTGGTTGGGTAAACATATTTTTTCAAATTAGTTACTTTAGCAGCACTAGTGTGGAGTTAGCTTACATTACATTATGTTTCCTTGTTTCTAGGATTCTTATCAATTTACCAAAATGCCCAAGCAGCAAGGCACATTAATGTTAAATAACTACTTTGGTATTTCATCCCCAGCAAAGAAATGCCATACTGAACCTGAACATAAAAAATGAATGTTTTGCTGAGAAGGGGCTACAGGAGGTTCCATGGCTCCAAAGAGATGATGACCAGACAGTGAGGTGGTGCAAAATATGCCATGAAATTTATTGCAGATAAAAGCAGCACATTTTATTTATGAACAAAAACAATTTGAAGAGAATGGATGCACATAAAGCAAGCAGGAAGACATCTGCAGCTTTGTCTGTGTGTGACTTGGTCGACAACAAGCAATTCAGATAGTTACTCCAATATTCATAAGGTTCTTCTGTTGTCCTTTACACTGCCCCTGAGCAGTGCTGCATGGGAGAGGGGATTTTCACATCTGAATAATAACAAGCAAGTACAGGTCCTGCCTGTCAAATTCTCACCTTTAATTGCTGATGTGTATGCACTTATCTAAATTGACAACAGAGAATTTTGGACCAAAGCCAGCTGTTAACTTAGTCAATAAATTTATGTAAAGAAGATTACTGGAAATCCTCAGATCATTTAAGGAAATGTCTTCAGGTTAATGAATTCCTGGTAAATGCAGGAAGTGACAGGTTCTCCCAGGTAACACTCACTTTCATGTTGTGCTTAGTATCTGTCAGAAATGACACTAAACTAAACTAAATGACAGTTCTTTGTTTTCCCACAGGGATCTATAATTCAGGTCACAGAAAATGAAGCATAATGTATCCTGAGGAGAAGCTTCCTTAGGAACCTTGTGATTTCTTCAAACTCTGCAACAGCTATGAGACGCCAGCAGAGAGGCAACATGATCCCAGGAGACAAACACCACCGCCATTAAAAACACAACATAATGTGACCTGCCAGAACACCCTATTTCAATCAGTAGATGGAGTGTTTTGTTTGTCTGTGTTTTGTGTATCCTGCTTTAAATCAGAACCCTGTACTTACTATTACCAGCAACACCTGGACACTAAGATGTATTTTACTCATAAATGAAAATGTAATGCCATATGTTTGTATATAATCCTGAAAATCATAGTGGACAGTAAGTTCCTGTAGAGAAACCGCTGCATTGCTTGTTTTTCTAAAGCTCCATAGAGGAAAAGAATGATCAAGGTTGTCTAGTCTAATGAGATACTGCTAACAAGTAATGATGGGGGTTTCTTTCATCACAAGCTTTTGAGATTTGTTATGTACTGTATATTCTAAGACAACTGAGCACCATTCATGGTTGTAACAAAAAAAACCTACTCTTTATCAAGGCTCTAACTAGGCTGGATCTTTAGAAAGTTATGCTATTACAAATGCCAAAAAGCTCAAAGTTTGGATTCACTTTAATTCTCTATGGCTCTATTGGCTACTCAATTTAAGCTTAAAGTTCGTGTACACACTTAAGTGACAATGGATTTTAATGGGAGCCAGAACTTTGGGTCCTATCCAACAGGCCTGCCCTATAATACAAGCATGGACTATGAAGACTACTACCAGGAGCCAGATACAAGTAAAATCATCATCCCATCCATCTATGCTCTTGTCTGTGGCATAGGTGTCATTGGCAATGCCATGGTTATCTACGTCATTTTGAAATATGCCAAAATGAAAACAGCCACAAACATTTATATCCTCAACTTAGCCATTGCAGATGAGTTGTTCATGTTGAGTGTTCCTTTTCTGGCCACATCAGCAGCCCTTCGTCACTGGCCATTTGGGTCACTGATGTGCAGGTTGGTGCTGAGTGTGGATGGTATCAATATGTTTACATCAATTTTCTGCCTGACTGTGCTGAGTGTGGACCGTTACATAGCAGTGGTCCACCCTATCAAGGCCGCCCGCTACCGCAGACCCACTGTAGCCAAAGTAGTCAATGTGTGTGTTTGGGGGCTCTCACTCATAGTTATCCTGCCAATCATTATCTTCGCAGACACTGTCCCTGCGCAGGACGGTGGTGTGGACTGTAACTTCTTGTGGCCTGAAGCAGCATGGTCAGAAGCATTTGTGGTTTATACCTTCCTGTTGGGGTTTCTGCTCCCGGTTGGCGCCATCTGCTTATGCTACTGTCTGATGGTGGCCAGGATGCGAGCAGTGGGGCTAAAAGCTGGCTGGCTTCAACGACGGCGCTCTGAGAAGAAGATCACATGCATGGTGCTGCTGGTTGTGGCAGTGTTCGTTCTGTGTTGGATGCCCTTCTACATTGTGCAGCTGGTCAGTGTTTTCCACCAGCCCCCAGACCCCATGGTCACTCAGCTTTTTGTCATCCTCAGCTACGCTAATAGTGGTGCCAATCCTATCCTGTATGGCTTTGTGTCTGACAATTTCCGACGTTCATTCCAGCGCATTGTGTGTTTCCGGTGGCTGGAGTCTGGGTTGGATGTGGAGCAGGTGGATTACTGTGCTGTAGCTTTGAAGAGACAAGAAACTTGTAGCCCTGTGGATTTTCCCAAGGACTGTATGGCTTCTGATATGGTGTTTCGCAATGGGATGTATATGTCCCGTACAACCACAGTGTAGCATTCAACCAGAACTTGCATTCATTAAATTGTGCATTACTGGTTGCTGGAGTCTGGGTCAGGTAGAAGCAGCTGGATTGGTACTGTATGCTGAGCTTTGGGTCATAAGGTTGAGAAATACTGAAGAACAACTAGAATAGCAAATGTACAGCAACCAGCCCAGATTGGCTGACATGTTGGGAGAAAAAGATGTACTGTAAAGTATATAAAAATTCCACTAATTTTCCTACCTTTAAAGTGCCCATGGCATGCTCCAAATAGTCTGTAATTATTTTAGAACCACAAAGCCCAAGAGCCTCCTGTTGAAAACAAGAGGACAGTTTATGAAAGCGCACAGCTCCTGCTGCCAATGTTGTATCAAAATCTGTTTCCCCATTGAGATATGTTTTCCTTACCTTAATCCTAACATTATCCTAACCACAACCAGTGAGGTGGATGCTACATGAAACCAAGTTTTGAACAGGGGAAACTCATCTGGACAGGGGAACAAAAACACTAACGATGACAATACCTCAAATCCTGCCTGACATGTTTGAGTCAGAATATGAAAGTGGACAGTACAATGAACCACAACAGCATTAAATAATTTGAATTCCTCCTCCTTAGATAGGTAAACAACACTATATCTACCAATGAAAAAAGATTAGTAACACTCTAAACAAAGTGGGTATTTGAGAAACCCCATATTTTAACTGGCATAATGCAGACATAGTAACTTCTCCAGCTTTACAACAATTAATTATTAATCCGCTTGTTAATATAGCACATGGAACGCAAAACTGCCTGGAGATTATGACCATTCGAGGAAATCCTTAAACTATCACATAAGACTATTTTGTTAGAAAAAGTCTTGCAAGCAAGACTTTGTGAGACTTGTATAAACTGAGTTGTTTTTGTATAGAAATACTAGAACATATGCACACCTCATTTTTTGAGCTTAAGATCATGTCTAAGATGATAATTCACAGTTGTAACATTGTAGAGAAGTCATAAAACAAGGAAAAGCATGTCATGGGCTCTTTAAGTGGGCAAGGATATAAAGTACAGGTCAATGTAATTACAAAATGGTGATGCTTTATTGTCATTTGCATTCTGTGACATGATTTATTGGAAGTCCTGGGCATACAAAGCTGCTTAGGCAAAGGCTTTAAAGGCAAAATGCTACTTACAAAAATGGAACCTCTTGTTTGTTTGTCATAATTATTTATTTAAAGATACACCCCTATGTAATGCTCAGTGGTACCCCTAATGCAATGGATATCTACTTTGGATAAAAGCAGTTAGGCAGAAACCACAGCAAAAATTATTTAAAAAAAAAAAACTAACAAAAAAATTAAACAAACAAAAAACTAAGGCAGATTATGTGGAACTACTGAAGAAGTAGAATTATTATTTTTTTGTTATTTATTATTGACTAATAGAATAATGGTACACTGCAGTTCGTTGTTTCTCTTTTTTAAAACAAATATGAATTCCATTGACTATGACCAACACTGCCTTTCAAAACTGCAGAAGTTTCAAATTAAAAGCCCACACTACTAATGCCAACATACCATTTTGACCATATATTCTTATAGTTGTTAATTAATTTTTTAAATGTCTTTTTACAGAGTATGCTAAATGTTTCCAGTTCCTTGCTACCACTAATACTTAAAACATATACTATACAAGCCATATCGGCTTTTGGTCCTTTTAAATACATATGTGATACTTTCAGGTGAAGATTTCTTTCTGACTTGAAACAATCTTTCTACAATTTTAAAATGTACAAAAATGTGAACTACAGAGCCTTTAACCAGTATTTGTGCTTTTTAAATATTTTGATTATTATTATTATGTGTTGTCATTCCCTCAAATTGAATTAAATGTACCTTTTTGATTTCAATGTCACTTACTGTTATGTTTTCCTTGTAAGATATTTCCTGATAATACTGCCTAAAGGGAGCGTGTACAAAGTGAAGACAGCTGGACCTAACACAGAGCCCTGTGGAACACCATGACTAACTTTAGTCTGTGTGGAAGATTCATCATTAACATAAACAAATTGGAATCTTTCTGATAAAAAAGATTTGAATCAGCTTAGTGCAGTTCCTTTAATCTCAATAACATGTTCAAGTCTCTGTAATAAGAGCTTGTGATCAGCGGTGTAAAAAGCAGCACTGAGATCTAAGAGGATAATTATAGAGACATGTTTGTCTGAAGCCATGAGGAGATTGTTGGCGACTTTCACCAGTGCAGTTTCTGTACTATGATGGACTCTAAAACCTGACTGAAAATCCTTGTGTAAAGAAGCCCCTGAAACATATTCCAGGATAGGAAAAACTCTTCTGACTTAGTTGAATGCCACTTCCTTTCCAGTTCTCATAATGCTTTTTTTGTATCTTTATCATCATGGATCATACATGATTGTTATTTATGTATGATTCACACATAAGGGTGATTTGGCACTAATTCTTTTTAATAAAGATACTGGCATGCATGCAGTTCTTGCCAACACTTTAATGGAGAGATCACCAAAACAATCTCTCTAGATCATGTCACTAGCCTAAAAACAAAAAAGAAGAACTAACATTCTTCCCACACAGGCTTCACGTGAATATCCATTTTTCACTTAGCATACAGATCATACAGTAGGCAAAAAACAAGGCAGCTGAAGTTTTGTTTAAGTGTCACAGTCAGTCCTCTCTTTATGGCAGATGGAAGAGACATGGTTTGCCCTCTTAACAGGAAATAAAGTAGGCAATTAACATATGAACCATAACACTCAGGAATACAAAGGAGTACATATTCACACCGGAGGGTTCACATAGTAAAATGATTTCTCTGTCTCTCTCCTAGCTGCCTCTGTGGTGAAATAGGCATACCACTGGTTACTTTACTATCTGTTTTTCTAGTCTTATTATTCATTCTTGTCAATAGGAATAATGATTTTTTTAATAAAAAAAAGGTAAATCACATGCTTTATAAATGTTATATCTGTCATTTAGTGTGAACACAAACTAAAAAAGGTGAGCTCCTCTGTGTTATAGATCACACACTGCCTATCAGTATAGAACAATGATGCACATTTAGCAAATGTTTACATCACCAATCAAAGTTAACATTTTATTGGGTGATTCTGCGCAGGCACCTTAAAGTGCCTTTTATCACATTTGCTCTACTGTAACACCATCTTGACTACACCCAGGTCCTGCTCCAAAAACTAGGACTCAATGTCAGCTACAGTTCACTGAATAAAAATCTCTATGGCAGCAAACAGTAGCACAAATCAGCAGCAAGAACCCTGATAGCTTAAGGCTACTTTCACACGAGAAGTCTTTTATGTTTGTTCAGCTCTTGACATACCTCATGTCCTATAGGGGGTATCTACTAAAGCTCTGTGGCTCATTTTCTGGTGCTAAACAGTGAAAATGCATGTGTTCATATTTACAAAGGAGTCACAGCAGGGATTTGCAGAAAATAAGTGGGACTGCAGAAATGTTCATGCTTGGTTTGATGCAATATGTACTTTAAGGCATTGTAGGGACACAAAAATCAAGGATGAGAGAATGTAATTTTCTACCAATATGCTCAGTGCCTGATTTAGCACCACGGTACATGCATGTCCTTAGCAGCTGAAGCACATTCAAATTAACACTGGTGTGGCTGTGCTCATTTACATCAACAAATATTGTTGGTAAATATGCCACAAAATTTTAAAATTGCCGTGGCGCAATATTTTCTGTGCCTGACAGTAATTTGCAACAGGTTTAGTAAATATATCAAGTGTCATGACCTGGGTTATGATTGTTCCTCATTCCTTAAAATGTGTTTGCTTGATCCTTCTTTCCCCATTTTGTTTTACATGGGTGGGACTAACACTCAAGAAGAAGACACAAGTGGGGGAAACATGGATGCATAGAGTTAGGGTTAGGCTAACCCTAGCCCTTATACTTAATTAAGGAGTTTTTCCCATTATAGGAACCTACTGAAATGTGTCACGCCAAGTAACACTTGTAACAGGTTCTGCAATTGTTTCTACTACAGTGCACCCACTTTGGAGGTGGGTTCTGGGGCCTAAATTTCAGCACCCCTCAGGAGGCCAATCGATGGCCTCATCACAGATGAGCGTGACAGGGAGTAAGGAAAACTGATCCAAGACTTTATGGACTGAAGTGTGTGGATTGACCTCCATATCAATGCAGGGAAGACCAAACAGTTGGTGGTGGATTTCTGCAGGTGCTGACACCCCCCCTTCCGACACCAGTGAATGGACCCTGAAAGAGAAGACTAACACTGTAAGCATGCGGGTGTTCACCTCAACAATGTGCTGGACTTGTGAAACAACACTGATGCATTATTGTGCAAGAAAGGCCGGAGCAGGTTCTCTTGAGGTTTTCCACTGTGTGCCTTGTTTACATCCTTTGCTGCTGTAACATTGCAAATTTCCCCATCGTGGGACTAATATGGTTCATCTCATCTTAACATTTTAGTCTAGTGGTGTCTTTCAAACAATGCTGTACCATTTGCTACTCAAGCATGTTAATGGCAAATATGAAAAAATAAAACAATGTATTCTGTCCTTAATTTTTTAATCTTAAAAAAATCATAAAACAACCGATAAGAGTACTGATAAGAGTGCCCTTAGTCATTTACGGCATAATTTTAATTACTTGCAAAAGTTGAAAACTTAATCCGGATTTAGATTCAACCCACTGCTAACAAACCTCAACTGCACCCTCCGCCCTAAAATGAGGACCTTATGCACACAACCACAAGAGGTCACATGTTGTAAATCTTTGAACACTGAGATCAGTGCTGTCTTTTCCCTGCTGAAGACATATAATACTTGTGTGTGAGGACAGACAAAGTACAAAGCCATCTTGTAGTATTGCTGGGCCAACTATGACTTCTTACTTATTCAATAAATGCATTTCCATTTATGCTTAGTTCATTTTCCTCAGCAAAAGAATTCAGTGTCGGATAACTGCAATAATATTTCAGCAGTGCTGAGAAAGTTTTACTAGGTTCTGTCATTTCCATTGATTTTGCAAATGGAGTGGGAGAGAGAATGACAAAGGTGATCCCTGCACCTCCTCCTCCCCATCAATGCTTTTTGATTTAAGAGGGTAATTCTGGATGTAACCCCACACATTTGGTTTAAATATCTCCTCTCTCAGCCCCTTTGTTGTTTGACCAGGTACTGATCGCAGCTCTACCTCGGCAGGCCACAGGCAGGCTGACTAACACACATCACTCCCTTTGTCATGATAGTTTCAATCACACCTTCAGGGGCAAAACACACAGTTGCTGTGCAGTAAACGTGTTGGATTGTCAGTGACATTTTGTTAATTGGTAAAAGTGCAGCTCAGAGTAACCTGACCCAGTTCTGTCTGGACTGTAAGGAGATTGTAGACTCCAGTGCAGACACAGAGGCAGGACTTTAGTCTTTGCTGGAGCAAATGGTGAGTTAAAAGGTGGACATACAATACCTCTACATGGTTACAAAAATGTAGCTCTTAAATACAGGCAGTCAAAGAATTACTTGGTCAAAAAACATAGGAATGAAAAGTAGAAATTAAACTTAATATCAATCAAAGGCATGGTTTAACATGAGCAGGGGCTAACGTTATCAGAACAGACTCATTTATGAACCTCCAACCTGGAGCACATTACACACATTTACAGACCTGCATGTACACAAATGTGTTCACTCTAAATTTCTCCCAAGTGTGCTCACTCCTCCCTCCTTGACCCAGAGTGCAAACCTCTTCCTCTAAGAGACTTTTATCCAACTTTAAGGCAAAGCATTTTTGTTTTTCATGGATGGACAGTGGGACAACAATGGGCCCCAG